CCGTCGACGAATAAACGTTCAGGGAAAACCAGACAAATGGTTTCCTTCTGTTTCAATTATTCCATATTTTCTACTATACATTTCAATCATTGCTTTATATATTCAAGCTCTGCAATTGCAATATTGCTAACGATGTCAAGAAGGGCATTTTGCAGAGAAAATAATACTACCTGCTTCCATATTTATATATCAATGTTATGTCTTTCATCTTATGCACTCAACAAAAAATATCTTTCAATTAAATACTCTATTTTCTTGCTAAAACCTTATTTTCACACTTTAAAAAACAAATTTTAGATTAATTAACTAAATTAATTCCCAGTAATTAATTTTAAAAAATTCACTCACGTTATCGAGGAATCTTTTTTTGTCCGCTGCGCTGCGGGTTGTTACACCCAGAACAACATTTCTTTAAACTTAACCCTACCAAATTTTTATCGAATCAACCTATAAAACATAAAAAAATAATAATGAAAATAAAAAATTTGACAATTTAAAATAATAAGAAATATGGGAGAAGTTTTTGAGAAAATATAGAGAAAGGTTTTATAACCAATCGTAATTGACCTCATTTATGTCTTTCCCCAGAAACCTATTTTAAGGGTGGAAAACACCCTTACAAATTTTTAGGGGTGAGATTAATTAATTAACAAAATATTCAATGAATTTTCCCAAAAGAGGTATCTAGGGGTTTTTGGGGTCGCTGATTTCGAATCTGAGTTGAGTTTTTAAAATTCAAAATAGCGGATCCAATATGGTCGTCGGAAATAAATTAATAAAAAGAAATGAATTTTTTTAAATATGCTATATGAAAGTTTCTTAAGGTCGCTACTTATGGGTATAATTAATTTTGTAACAATTTTTAAAAACTGAATTCACATTCGTAATCAGCGACGCCAATATTTTTCTAAGAACTACTTCGATACCAAGTTTCATTTCAAGAAATATTAACTAATTATTTTTTTTAATTCTTTAAATTATATTATAATTTCGAATACTTAAAATTGTCAGAAGAAAAATTGGTCCCCCCCATTGAACAATCACTGTTTAAATTTAGAAATAAATTAAAATAGCCAAAAAGTTAAGTTTATATGCCTATATGCTATTTTATTAAAATTTTCCAAAAGAATTCAATTATTCAAACAAAATTTGAATAGAGCAGAAGCTCTATTCAATTATTTTCATAAACAATAAAATTGTTCGCAAAAATTCAAATATCTTTGAAAATTTTTTTAAATTCTTTTCAAAATTTCAGTTATTTTCAAAAAATTTCCTCTAATTCTAGGGGAATATAGTCGAGGTCGGCCCACCTTTTGACTTTTGTTTATGACTTTTTAAAAAAATGAATTTGGACAATTGAAGTATATTGTTGGAAAGTCCTGTTTAATAGGAACATTTTTTCTGTACAAAGTAAATTGATTGGTTTTAAAATGAAAAAGTTATAAAGATTTAAAAAAAAAAATTGTAGTCCAGCTTGGCCCTTACAGTCAAGGTCGGTCCATGTTTAAAATTCAAAGGGCATTAATCGTTAAAAAATAAAATAACATGTTACACCTCTGCAGGCTGCCTGCCTGCGCTGGCAGGAGCAACGAGAGTAAAGGAGAAGTTTGAAGTCACTGACTCTCTTACTCTTGTACGTTACCATGACAACCTGCAGGCAGGCAGGCAGGCAGGCTGCCTGCAGAGGTGTAACCGCAGCCTAATTGAACAAAAAGTTAGGTTTCACTATATGACAAGCTTCGACAAGCATGCGCGTAGGTGGGGCTAGTGAAATGTCCAAAAAATCGCGAATGGCCTACCTAGACAGTGGTCCAACCTCGACTATACTCCCCTACTCTATTTAATTATTTTCATAAATAATTAAAATTTCGCAGGAACTCAATTATTTACAAATTTTTTTTATCAATTTCTTCACAATAATTCAATTATCTTTAAAAATTTTAATAAAATTCTTAGCAAAATTTCAATTATTTTCATAAATTATAAGAATTTTACAGGAATTCAATTGTTTTTATAAATAATACAATTTTTTATACAGGTATGTAGGTATTCAATTATATTCAAAAATAATAAAATTCTTTTTAGAAATCCAATTGTTTTCATAAATAATAAAACTCATCGCAGAATTGTAATTATTTTTAATAAAATTTTTATAAAATTTCCCGAAAAATGTAATTATTTAAAAAAATTTTTTAAATTCGTCGAAAGAATTCAATTACTTATAATTATAACAAAATAGAGTGTTTGACTCAAATATAATTTTTTTGAGTTTATAAAGTTAGACAAACTTTTGTTTTATTTAACTAACAATATTCTTCTTTTATGAAATTGAGACAATAAACGAATCAAAAGTGTTGCGAAGCAACGTTTTGATTCGTTTTTTGTCTCAATTTGACATCTGCAGAAAAACTGTGCTGATGATAAAATTTTTTCATTGAACGCCAATTTTATTAAAATGAACCAAATGTTTATTTAAATCAAACAAATATTTATTCAGGTTAAACAAACTTTATTTAGAATAAAAGAATTTATAAATCTCAAACATTAGGCAAAACAGAAATAATGTATTAACTATTCTATTTATAGAATGAACAAAAAATATAGTTTTATACAATAAAAATTAACTATTTGATTTTATTTTTTCAATTATTTTATTTTTCTGAGTTTGTTTAACCTAAATGAATATTTATTTGATTAAAATAACCATTTGGTTCATTTTAATAAATTTTAACTTCAAAGGAAGAATTTGATCATCTAAAGCAAATTTTTAGTTGAACAATCAAATAACGGTTAATTGACTATTGTCAATTAAATATTTAATTGAATCAAGTAACATTTATTGGAGTCAATTAAATAGTATTTGCTTCAAATACTGAAATTATTGGTTTATATCTTCAAATAACATTTAATTGACTCCAATAAATAAATATTATTTGATTCAAGTAAATATTTAATTGATAAAAGTCAATTATTAGGTTATTTCAATCAAATAATTTTTCTCAGTGCAATAAACTTAATAATTTCTATACATACCTGCATTGTTTAGATATAATTAAGAAAAAAGTATAAATGGATATAAACAAATAATAAAATTTATTATTGATAAATATCAATAGTAGTTGTGTGCCTACAGAATGATTAAAAGATCTGGCCCCGATTAGGGCCATGGTTAAATTTCTACACGGGACTGATTGACTTATTTTTAGATCCACAGTTTTTTTTAATGTATCAAATTGATATCATATTAATGCCAAAAATTAGGATCAATTTTGTATTTGATCCACATTTTTGGTAATAATTCGTTGCAATTTGATTCATCTTTTAAGAAGGAATAGAAGTCAAAAATAGAAGAAAGTCCCTGCAGTATACACAGTAAATAGTAAATCTTAATTTAAGATCAGTCTTAAATTCAGCAGTGTCTGCTCTAATGTTAAATCATACAAAATCCATTGCTTAAATTTAGCATTGACTGCCTTAAAAATGTTGCGTCTGAATTTAAGATTGCCTTCCTGCCTAAAAATAAGACTTTCTGATTCTGATTAATTAAAAGATGATATATAATCTTTTAATCAGAATTAGTGAAATTTTAACTAAATAGCTAGGAATCAGTAATTAATTTCCGCCTCCCTCGAGCAATGGAATTTAACTAATTTGCAGTCATTTCTGTACTATGTCGAATCAGTGAAATTTCATAACATAATTGAGGTACATAGTCGATTACTGCCTGATTGCTATTTTCAATATATGTACAAATTCCACTGATTCAAATTGAGAGACTGAATTATTTTAATTTAAAATCCTTGTAAGTAGATACAAATAAAAACAATTACCACAAAATTTGTTAACTTTTATTTCGGATTAATTTCTTGTTCCACTATGATGATTGATTTAATCCAAGTTTTCCAATTGCAAACTAATGAAAAAAAGGACTCATTGCTTGAAAGGTGAAAGAATACATGTGAGGATTTATAAGGGATGAGGAAAAGGGATTTACAGGGCTGAGGCAGCAGCAGATAGTCATGTACATATAGTGAGCGAGAGAGAGAGAGAGAGAGAGAGAGAGCGCATGAAGAGGTGGGTGAGACCCCACAAAGGCAGTGGGGCTCTTTTGATTCGCAAGCTAATTGGAATGCCGCGGATGCCGACGACGATAGAGCAGGGGTTCGGATCCCTGGATCCCGAAGTCATGCTGTAGCCAGGAGTGAGGAAGGCGGGGCTAACTTCACGCAGGTCTCTGGAGCTTTTGATGTGAAAGCTCGATCGTCTTGACTTTTTCCGCGCGAACCTTCTTCTTTATTCATTGCCATATTTTTTTATTCACTTCGCTTCTATACTTCGTATACTTGAATTTTTCAATTCTACTTCTCATTTTTTATTTTTTATCAATACATTTTACTGTCAAGTCAAATGTAAAAATATAATTATATTTTTTCTTTTGGTTTAAAACTTTGCATTTTTCGTTGTCATGTATTAATATTTAAAATCAAATTAACAGCAGGCTGATGTCTTTATTTTCCGCGTGCCTTCTAGATTTAGTGAGGGACCGTAATGAATATATCAAGTTTAATTGTACGTATTTAAAGCGAGTTTCAGTACAAAATTAATATTTTCACAAATGTCGAGTAGAAAATTTGGCATTTGTTGCTTGTGTCCACAAATAAAAAGCGAATCCCGAAAAACTTATTTTCACTGTTAACTTATAAAAGTACAAAATTGCAACGAACACCAGGATCAAATTAAAAACTGATCCAAATTTCCGGCATCAATTTGATTCAAAAAAAAATATCCAAGTATTTTGAAAAATTAAAGCAACGTTTTGATACGTTTTTTGTCTCAATTCGATAAACTTTGAAAATGTGTGTATACCTATTTTTTGAAATAATTTTCAATTAAAAATTTGATGAAAAGTAATAACTAAATAATACGGAAAATAAACTTGAAATTTAAATAAATAGAATGAGGCAGAAATGAAAATTACCATTTCCAATGTACAGATTCGAGATTTTATTTCTCGGCGACATGTATAATGTGTTTTAACATTAATATCACATATTTACAAATAATTTGTTTTCGCGCGTCACGAACCAGAAACATTTTCCAGGATCACAAAATTATAATATACATTTGCCATTTACTATATAAATATAAATATTAATATACGAATCTAAAGACACGAATTACAAGTTTAATCGGCTTTCGCAAAATAAAATCAGTTTTCAGAAAGGGATGCGACATGTACAAATATACATCGAATTTACTTCTTTGAAACTTAGCTGTAAATTATATCAGCTTTTCTACGGATATCAAATTAAAACAAAAAACGTTTCAAAATTTTTGTACGTTTTTCGTCTCAATTTGATATTCTTATCAAATTCAAACAAAAAGCAGACCAAAATTGTTACGAAGCATCGTTTTAATAAGTTTTTTTTGTCCCAATTTTATACCCTTATAGGAAAACTGTGATTTCAATTTCAAATTCTTTAATGATCAAAATTTAAGGCATTTAATTTGTAATGAGTCTCGGTAATTTCGTCACATACCTATTATGTACATTATGTAATTTAAGGAAAAAAGTTAATTTTTGTGAAGATTGGAAAGTTATGTGCAGGAGATGGGACAGATATTTTTTATGTTCGCGCTGGTGATCTGGTGTTCCTGGACCTTCGAGCTTTCTGGGAAGCGTAGTTTGTCGGAGACATTGACAGCAAATTTAGTTTTGGGGAAATCCTTCTTCCATTGTTGAAACGTTCTCCCTGATCTCCTGATTCACCATCTGTGTACGATATACGAAAATAATGTTAACCCCAAAAAGGGCAGAGTTTTAAAATTACATTCGAGAAATTAACGCACTAAAAATAATAATTCGCAAACCAACGAAAAGAACCGAAATTTCGACTCGGAAATCGTATATTTAAAATTAAATCCAATAAACTGCATCAGGAATTTTTCCAGAGATTTAGTAGTAAAATTTAATAAATAATACAGTCAAAATAAAAATAGTAGTAGCGATCCAGAATAAAATTAAAGATTCCAATAGAGAGAAAATTAGTTTCAAGAGAAGCACTTTAAGAATAATGAATTGCAAACTGAAAGGAACAGTACCGAATTTTTCTTTAGAATTATAGTTGACTTTTGTAGAATCATGAACTCGGCAATTAATTTTTCTCGATACAGTCGGATCACTTCCGGTACCACCACAGAAGCGGCAGGGTCTCTTTTTACTGTAATAGTCCAAATTTTGCTCCAAAGTTGCTTGCTTAATGTCATATTTTCTCGGATAGTCATACATCTGTTGAGATCTTATTAAATTGTAATTGTCATGATCTCGAGGGAACCACGAACTTGGTTGACGATGATTATTGGGAACCTTAACATTTTTTCGAAACTGCCGTTGTGGAATTTCATCGTCGCCTTCCGTTACTTCATCTGTGACTTCTTCATTTTGGATTTCCTGGCATTCCCTGAAAGATTATTTTCGGAATTCTTATTTTTATACTTATTTTTATACTTGTCGTGTGTAAATATTTGTAATTTGCAAATATTTCTTATTTTATTATAACTTTATCAAATTTTACTAGAATTTTCTCAAATCAATTTTTGCAAAAATATCAAATTGAGACAAAAAACGTATCAAAACGTTGCTTCGCAACAATTTTGAATTTTTGATACCTCCTTTGTCTCAATTTTGGCATCCTTAGAAAAACTGTGTATTTAATTAAAATTTTATCAAAATTATCTTGTTTTTTATTTTGCTTTTTGTTTCATCAAAACTAAAAAAAACATACCTTTGAGTAGTAATCACGTTTTGATATTTTTTCTGCAAACGTCTTTGTTGATTCATTTTCAGAGCATGTGCAATGTCTAGCATTTTCAGCTTCTCCATCATCGAGGAAGGTAATTTTTCGAATTTATTCCGATAATTTGGAGGAACATAATTTTCTTCCACTTCTTCGCCAGGATCTTCGTTATCTTTTTCAATTGTTTCACGAGAAACACAGGATTCCACTGGATTTTCTTCTTCTAAAAAAATGACAATTATTTAATCAGAGGAACAACATCTAATCAAATTCATCAGCAGTATAAAAAGTTTTTTGTATACCAACCATCTTTAGCGTTGGTTTCATTTTCGTAGTATTCGTCATCTCCTAATTCGTCATCACCATCGTCATCATCACCACCGTCGTCATCATCATCATCATCCTCATCGTCGTCCGAATCATTTTCCTTTATTTCTTTTCCCTTTCTCGAAATCCCCGCATTATTATTATTATTATTAAGGCCATTTTTATTTCGATAGGACTTGTAATTTTGATAGTGTCTGAATAGTGGATCAGAAATTTGATGCGATGCATAATCAGGATGTAGTGATTTCGAATTTACGTGGTTTTTGACCTTTCGACAATTATCAGGTATGTAGTAAGTTTGATTATCCGCTTGTATTCTGCAGAGAATAAAAGTTATCAATTTGAGAAGTAAAAATATTTAATCAAGGTACTTGATGAAAAAAAAATAATAAAATATTAGACGACAAACCTGTCTCTCTGCCAACTGGGAATTGATGGATTTCCCCTGTGATGACTTTTCCAATATGCTTCTTGCGCATTGACACCAGGATGAAATCTGTCTGGCCCCGATGATCCATATGATGCATGAGATAATTTCCCCTTGGATCTTTCACCCATCTCGATCACTAGTTATCTGTCAGCAATCTTCTTAAAACTTTCAAAGTCTTATTCTGACCGCTTTTTTATAGAAAAATACTTTATATTAAATACTTTGGAGTTGAAATTACTTCTCATAGAAATAATAATTCTTAATTGATAAATTTACAGGATCTTTAGTAATCTTTAGTAATCTTTAGTAACTGAAATATTTTTTTGCCTTTGATGATTTTGAAATGAAACAATTTTTTCCGAGACTTTTTTTTTCTCTCTCTGAGCTTTATTTGAAGAATCGAGAAATGTTTGTAATGTCGAGGAATGAGGATTTCAAAGCTTAGAGGGGACTTTCAGAATAAAAAAGGTTCGAGGATCACTTTTGCCATTCACTCGCCTCGTTACTGTCGTCCTGATCTAAATTCGTCAGAGAAGTTTGATGAAATTCGTGTAATCGTTGACTTTGTTGTTCGTGATTTAATTTTCGCCACTTTATTCTACGATTTTGAAACCAAACCTTGACTTGAGCTTCTGTCAATCGTAAAGCATGTGCTAGATACAGTCTCTCGGGTCCGACCATATATTGTTGTCGGGCAAATTCGCCTTCTAAACGCTCCAATTGTTCGGCGGTGAAAATGGTTCTTACCCTCTTTAATTTTCCACCTCCGTTAGAATAAGAACTGGATGAACTTCCTTTCGTCGAACTTTCTTGACCTGGAAAAAAGTCAATCAACTTTATCGCGTTCGAATTGAAACGGTTGCGTTTTTGGCATTTACATTGGAATTATTTTCATCTATTTCTTTAGAGTGACTATGGAATTCGAAATTTAGAAAATTAATGTATGCGATACTCAGTCGAATACAATAGAAAAGAACCGACAGTTTGTGTTGTCACATTTTTAAGCGACTTTTTTGTAATATTTGACAGTAACCTTTAAATCAAAACATTTTAAACAAGAGAAGATCGGAAATTTGACAAAAAATTCAGAATAGTTCTATCTTTGGTTTTTACCAAAGATCTATAGGAAAGAGGAAATTGATATGAATTGATAATTGCAACGTACCTTGATGTTTTCTGTAGGAATGATGTCCTTTTTGATGCTTCTCCCTCTGATTATTTCTCAAGCCCAAAATTGCATCGATCGTAAAAGATTTCACCTGCTGTTGTTGATGTTGATATTGACTTTGACTAACCGATCTTGAACGCTGAGTGGCAATACTCTGTGTCGACAAATCAGTGGTTAAGAGATGTGATCTCCTCATCCTCTCGTAAGTTAAGGCATCCAAATCAGGATTCCTCTGTTGAATTTGTAAATTCATATAATCACTGGACTCCAGAATTCCGGGATTTTCCATTAAGGAATTCCCTCGGAGTCTTTCAATACCCAAATTATTATCCCTCACCCTATCGAACGATAAATTAAATTCCTTCATCCTTTCCAAATTATAATTTTTCAAAATTCCAAAATCCTTTATTTCTCTATCCATGAGAATTTCCTTGTTATTTCTGTCTAGAGAAGAATTATTCTTCTGACGAATGTTAAATACCACGTCCTTTTGATTCGAAAGCTCTTTATTTCTCGATAAATTATCTAGTTCGGATATTTCATCACCAGTCGAATTTCTTGTTACTCCGTAGCGAATTTGATCGGATAGGAAATTAAAATCCTTTGGTTTGTTCAGTGCCATTGCCAATTCACTTGCATCCGTTATGAACTCGTCAAATCTCACGGAATGAGATCTGCCCTCCATGAAGTCTTTCTTGAAAGTGTCATCCTTATTTTTGTCCACTGTTAAATTGAGTTCCTTTAGTTTTTCGTAGCCCTGAAAAGCACGCACCTCCGAGTGGTTTGACTCACTCCTGTCCGACACGTCCGTCGGATCTTGATCCATCTTTTGCTTTTCAATTCTTTCAATAATTTTCCATCATCTCTATTTTTTATAACACTGAAACTTAAGCCAAACACAACACTAAAAATAATTGGAAAAATATTTCCAGTCAACACCGTGGAATTTCATTGAACACTGAATGACGAGGTGAATGACGAGGTGAAGAAAGAAGCAAAAAGTTAATGGGCAAAACAGGATCAACAACCTCCTTCTAAGAGAACGTTTGGATAATGATGTCAGCGGTAAGAGGATCGTCGTGGAACTAAGGATATCTGGCTAATGATCCCGTACGTGACGTCGGTATTTACCCTCGGCATCCATCCCCCAATCAGTCCACCACCGCGTTCACCTCCGCAATCCCCAAATGGACCGCATAATCCGTCGGTCAATATTTTTTCCTCGGTTGAGGATGAGCGGCTTGTGATTGGCCAGATCCGCCATCACCCTTAGAGAATGACACGCCCCCTCGAAAGCTTTCGTGGGGGTTATTTGCAGAGAGTCCGTTATTATTATCATCTTTTTTTTGTATTCCCCTCAGAGACTATCCATGGCTATAGGTGAGGATGAGCATGAGCAGCTATGTGAATCCTCACTGAGTCTCATTAATAAGCTTTCGTGTACCGTCTAACTTACCCCCACACATTGAGGAAAATGTTCTCTCGTCGGCGACGATGTCATCCACGTCTGAGGCGCCCGCGTGTAATTAGGTACCGACTAATGACGACGAGGTTATTTAATTCTACTGCGGTGAGTCCTTTTCTTGTCGAGGTTTGCGATCCTGGTAAGGAGACCGCAATTATTTTTCAAATTGAGATAAAGAGATATAAGAGTTTTCTAGGGAAAATTTTTTTCTCGTTGCTTTTGATGAGCTTCACTCTTTTAATTTTTCATATATATCAGTATAGTAAAATTTATTAAGTTCAATAAGTCCAGTTTTTCGGCGGATATCAAATTGAGCCAAAAAATGTAGTAAAATTGTAATTTGGTATTGCAACTGAAAAACATTTTTCGTTTTTTAAAATCACTTGATCGGCTTTCTTTATGCGGTAAAAAACTGCTTTATTTTCTAACAAAACTGGTTCAGGTTGCAATAAAAACCAGTTTCAACGACAATTTTTAATCGCAGTACCTCCACAGCATCTGAACTTGCAGCAACATTAACAAGATTACTGCAAATTTTACAATATTGAAAAAATGTTTTCCTGCAAATTTAGATAATGTGAAGGTAGTTAAACTTTCCTTCTGTCATATAATTTTTAAATCTTAGTTAAATTTTCACTGCAAAATATAAATGTTACTTTTAACACATTTTTTATTAAAATCGTTTAGGTACATTATAACCGTTTTTGACTCAATTATTAGCCTCCGGAGTATAATTTTAAGTCCTAAAATTAGCTAAAAATTGTTTTGAGCTTAAAAACATTATAATTTGCGAATTATTTTAATTATAAGTATAGGCAAAGACATTTTCAGACAGACTAAATAATGTTTTAATATATTATTACCTTATTATTAGTAGAACAAGTGCGTTTTTACTTAGTCAGACTAAAGATTTTCGTTTATTGATACCTTAGTTAGAGCAAAGAAGACTAACAATTAATTTTTATTTTTGAGAAACTCACTTACAATTATTCGAATTTAGCTTAATCTTATAATCTTGAAGACGAACAATTTATTTCAATACATTTAACTTTATTGAATTTTAATTATTTTAAATTTAATTTATTTAATTATTTTCAATTTTTTTGCATTATATTACTTTGAAAGTGTCAAATTGTAACGAATTGAAAGCGAAAATGTAGATGAAATCATAAATTGATCCAAATTTTCGGTATCAATTTAAGCCTTTTAGGAAAACTGTGAGTTGAAGAAATACAGATGTTCAGCGAAAAATACTGATTCATCAAAAAAATGTCATCCATAAATTGGAATTAGTGAAGTTACACTGAAAAAAATGATATTGTCGATTTTGTCATATGAGTATAGTTAGGACGTATAGCTGAAACAGCAATATACTGAATGGCTGTCCCACACGGAAAGAAAAGGTCTGGAAGAGATATCCATAAAAATATTGTTGAGCAGAATATTGTTGTGTTATCCAATAATTCAATGGAAGAGACAACTTTCAGAATGGAAGCACATTCCATATTCAATGGAAGAGGGAGCCATATTATATATTGTTGAATCAAATATGGATGTGACATCCATAGGCATGGTTGGTCTTACAATTCATGCTATGGATTTTCACATATGGCTGCCTCATCCATGTAAACTTTGGTTGGAAGATCCATAGTTAGTTCAAAATTTCGATACATGTTGCGCGCAATTCATTATCATGGCATCCATTTAAAAATGGTCGTCTCAATTTGTCCGTCGCGTCGGTTTCCTGTCACGTCTATATAATCACGTTGTGAGTTTATTGTGTATAAATAGTGTTACAATTGTTAATTATTTATTATCGTTATTGTATATGAGTGTTTATGTAAATTCATTTTCATGAAATATGTGCAGAGTATATAAGGAATATTATATGCTCAAATATTGTAGTTGCGTGTATAGTGTAGTGGATAGCGTTAGTGTTTAGTATGCGTTAGGTCTAGGGTTCGTGTCTCCCCCATCGGTTAATAATTTATTTCGTAAATATGCGGTTATTCAATAAGTGGTGTGTATTAATTAACAAAAATGTGTATAAAATATCTCAAGTGACATGGAATTTAATTAATTGAGTGATTCCAATTTTTTGTTTCCCATTTCCATTACTATGGATCACCCAACCATAGATCTTTTGCTGCTCCAACAATATACAGCCAGCCATAGAATATGGATGCAGCAACCTTAACTATGGATATCCCGTATTTTTCAATATAATATGGCTGTGATATCCATGTATCTGGATGTGTCAACTATTCCTTTTTCTCCGTGCATATCCACCAATATAATATGAGAGTATTGGCCATATTTATGGCAGTATCATAAATATATTTTTTCAGTGTAACACTTTTTTTAAGTTTTATTTGCTTATCATCTCAATTTCAGTAGTCATCGTCAATTTTAGTCAGACTGAAGATGAAATTTCATGTTATCAGATAATTTTAGTAGTGAAAAACAATTTTAGTAAGACGCGACTAATATTCTTCTTGTTACTTTACAGTAGTTAAGGTCATTTTAAGTCAGACTGAACTATTTGCTTTGTTCTCTTCCTATTATTAATATATGTAAGTTTTAGTCAGACCATAATATCAGTAGTCAAAGTCAATTTCCGTCAGTCTAAACATATTAACTTCTTTAAATTGAAATGATTGAAATCTTTCTATAGTAGGTACAAATGAATTGTTCTCAAATTGTGTGCTTTTCAGTTTATAATATATAAGTGGTAAAAGAAAGTTTTGGTCAGGCTTTTCTTGGAATTCTTAGCTCAGTAGTAAGAGTTAATTATGTGGTCGGACAAAAGAGAGAAATTTGATTTTTCCACTTTTAATTACAAAAGGGGTGCACTTCCGAAAGCAACATACCTCCAATTTTTTTTGGAACTTGGTATACTTACGTAATTTTGTGCCCTGATTACGAAAATCATAGTGAAAATTGGCGACTAGGTCATCTTCATCCATAAAAAAACACCATAAAATTGTGGTTTTTTGCGTTTAACTCGTTAGATTGGATTAATCATAATTTTTTTTGTTTAAAAATGTTTGTAAATTTTTTTCTGCTTTTATATGGAGGAGGAAGGAGTCATTCACCTTGGGTTGGAAATTTTTTTTTTTATCAAAATTTAATTGATTGGAGAGATAATTGTGATATTTTTTGTTTTCTATTCAATTCTGAAAAACCCAAGGTGGATGACTCCTTCCTCCTCCAAATAAAAGCAGAAAAAAGTTTACAAATATTTTTAAATAAATTAATAAAAATAAATCAAAGAAATATTGAATAAATAAAATAATAAATAAATAAAAAGAAATAAGTTCTTTTAAATAATAAATAAATAAATAAATTTTGATAAAAAAAAAATTTCCAACCCAAGGAGAATGTCTCCTTCCTCCTCCATATGAAAGCAGAGAAAAATTTACAAATATTTTTAAACACAAAAAATTATAATTAATCTAATCCAACGAGTTACATGCAAAAAACCACAATTTTATGGTGTTTTTTATGGTTTTTACCATGAAGATGACCTAGTCGCCAATTTTCACTAATATGATTTTCGTAATCAGTAGGGCAAAAAATTACGTATAAGTATACCAAATTCCAAAAAATTGGAGGTATGTTGCTTTCGGAAGTATATCCCAAAAAAATTTAAGTCCTTTGTAATTCTTTCCACAGTTTTCTTGAAAGTATCAAATTGATATTGATGCAAAAAATTCGTTGAAATTTTGATTCTTTTAATATAACAGTAGCAGTTTTTCTATGGATATCAAATTGCAATAAAAACGTTTTTGATACTTTTTTGTATCTCAATTTGATATCCTTAAATAAATTATAATAAGAGTCAATTTCATTTAGATAAATACATAAATTTCGTGTTATTCCAGTCAGTGCGCAAATAAGTTATTATTATCTGACTTTGATTAATTCTTGCGTATAATTGTGTATAATTGTGTAAAACAAACTTTTTTTGTCTTTTTGAGACGAAACAACTTAACTGTTTTACTTTCTTTTACAAATTTTTTTTTATCGGTTCATGTCAGATAAAAATGAGACTTTAAATATAAGAATTTTCTTTGTAGAAAATAACAATTTAAAGTTTGGATAATTATTGGCCCTCTCCAGCGCTCTACTTCCCCCTCATTAGACGGGCATGCGGGAATTTCTCTACCTCCCGAAAACCTCTAAGGAGCTTTAGCTTAGAGCTTAATTACCTTCCAAGGTGGCTTCTTCAGATGTATAATTATGGAATCTACACTAAGGAAAGGTTTATGTAATCAAACAATACTCCCTTAGTTAAAAACCACCCTTTCTCCTCAAAAACTCTTTTTTATTTTATTGAAACTCTCTCGACCAAATTTTTTAAAAAATAATTCTTAGCGAAAAATTAGATTTTTATACTAAATATTAATATTTATATAATTAATATTATAACTTTATAAATTTATATTACACCTCATTATATATATTTAATATTTAATTTCACACTAAAAAAAAGTCTTACTTTCAGCCTATTTTCGAGTTGTTGTTATTATATTTTCAATCTCAAAATGAGTATAGGGTAAGATTCATTTTGAGTTACAACAAAAATGAGAGTGGGTTTTTTTAGTCAAAGTATATTCTAATTTTTTACATAAAAATGTATTTTTAATAACAAAAAGTGAAATAATTTTCGTTTGGTAAATTTTTAAAGATCA